ATTACATGAAACTCAAGCCGTGCAATGAATGGAAAGCAATAGCCAAGACTAGTTTCTGGGAACAGCTACAGAAGCAAAATGGTAACATGAGGTAATATCATGGTCAGGAAAGGGTAGAAGGGGGGAGGAACGGCAGGAAGATCCCTCTTTCCTTGTTCATTTTTACAAGCTGTATATATTCTGTTGCTCACCTGCTCCCTGAATCAGCAAACAGCCAGGCAAGCTTCCAATGCCACTGCTTTCTATTAAAGTCAATGAGGGCTGTAGAGCAAGTTGATGGCTGGTCTTGTGGACTCACTGTTTGACTCAGGGAAAGTCACTGAGGGCAGGTCTACACTACGGGGCTCAGTCGACCTAAGATACGCAACTCCAGCTATGTGAATAATGTAGCTGGAGTCGACTTACCTTAGGTTAACCTTTTGTGGTGTCTACACCATGCTGGGTCGACAGGAGAAACTCTCCTGTTGACTTATCTTATGCTTCTCGTTCCAGTGGAGTACCGGAGTTGACGGGAGAGCCATCCGTGGTCAATTTAGCCGGTCTTCACTAGACCCACTAAATCGACCCCCGGTGGATTGAGCGCCGCGCGTGGATCCCCCCGTAAGTGGAGACAAGCACCAAGTCTCTCCATTCCTCAGTTCCCCATCTGTAAAAAGGGACAATACTGTTTCCTTTGTCTTCCTTCTCTGGCTAGACTGTAAGCTTTTGAGAATAGGAGTCTCTTTTTATATATATGTACAGCATGGACCATCTAAACTATAGTGCACTAATCAAAATAATTAACAATGGTGCAACCAACTTGCATTTGGAAAATAATAATTATTTATTATTTTATGTATTATTGTAGTGCCTCAGAACCCTAGTCATGGACCAGGACCCCAATGTGCTGGTTGGTTGGTTGGTTGGTGACTCTTCCTGGTACAGCAGCAAATTGGAACTAAGAACTTCTGGATATAACATTAACCATGCTGCACTTGTAGAATGATCCTTGCAGCATTTATTTCTTACACTTAACCATTTGGGAATGTGTTTGTCACCCTCCTTGCTCCTGTCACGTGAGGGGATCTGTCAGATCAGAATACATTGTCTCCGTGCTCTTTTCTTGTTCTTCAACTCATCTCAGGCACAAATCTTTTTCAGATGTTTCCCCCATTTGTTTCCATTATTATATCTGGTGCTTCTGGGTGGTAAACAAAAATAAATACCTTTGTAAATGCACCCTGTATTTCCATTAGCTTTATTTATCATACGGCACGTTGGTGCACTGTGGCTGAGTATTTTTAATAAGACAAAGTTGATGAAAATAAATTGCTTTGCAGTTCCTGCTGAGGGTGACAGAAATGCTGGGCCTATAATTTTCTGAAACTGCATTTGAAACTTGTATAGAGTGGGGTCTGCATGCTTGTACATATAAACATCTTTATACCTCCCTGGGGAAAAAAGTCTATTGACTTGTACTATGTCTAAAATCTTTGAGCGAGATTCTCTGCTATATCCTGCTGCTTCTGGGCACAGCAGAAAGAAAGAGCAGTCAGAGAGCCAGTTACATTTGATCCCAAGGCCAGTTTTGGGTCTGCCACAGGAAAGACTTGACCAGGTCAGTCTCTGGTTCAAGGAAGAGACTGATTTATATAGGGGATCCTCTTTCCCAACATGCCTTGCTGCCAAGGTCTGGGTAGTGTAGGACCACTGAGACTTAAAAGGCCCATACATCCAAATTCAGTCTCCAAGGGACTATGCATCGGATGGAGATCACTGGTATGCCACTTCCTGTCCCACACCCTGATATGCCCCATACCAGAGGCTGCAGGAGAGGTGGAATAGGAACTACCTATGTTAGCTGTATGACCACTCAGGACTTCCCCAAGCCAGGGGAATCCCCAACTATGGAGATGTGGGCTGTCTTTTCTCCCTTTGCATCATGTAGCAGTGCAGAAGCAATAGAGCGGGATTGAGAGCCTGGTCCTATATCAATAACATCTGTACCATATAAACAGTGGTGATACCTATATGATAAATTGCATTTTAACATACTTTTATGACGGTCTCACTGGCAATTTGCCCACTAAACCACCTCTGCCTGGATTAGAGCTAGCCACAATTTTTTAACATTTGATTTTTCAATAAAAATGTTCATCTGATTTTGGATCTTAATGAAAAAAATATTCACAAAATTTCCACTAACTTTTCTTGTGGAGTTTCAACAAGCACTAGAGCTTAGTCAGAATTTTTCAAATTTTGATTTAAACAAAAAATTTTCCAACTTTTTTCCACTAGCTCTCGGTCACTGAGTACTATTCCGCCCCCCTTTACAGTAGATCTGAACACCCACAATCTTTTACTGTGTTTATCCACACAACACCCCTGTGAGGCAGGGAAGTATTATCATCCACTGACAGAGAGAGAGTCTAAATCATCTTCTCATGTCCTTGTCACACACTAGAGGTTTTCCCAGAACCGTGGACAAGCAATGGCTCTTTCCGTTGCTGTAGCGAGGTCCTTCTTCATAAAGGTCTCCCCAAAGAGTCAGCCAATGCTCCATGGTCTGCACCTTACCACACTCGCATATATTCATGTCATTAGAGTACCCTCATTGGATCATATTAGTCTTCAATCTTCAGGTGTTTGCATGTGTAAGTGGTTCAGGCATTGCCACATTGACCTGTCTGTATCGGCTCCTCTGGGAAAGTCCTCCTGGGGTTCCAGAGCTATTTCAGTGCGTCTGACTGCGTGAAACCTTTCATTCCATAACCTCAGTTCTGCCTTACCAGCTGTCATATCCAAAGGCACAATACTGGTTATAAAACTCTTTCTCAGTTTAAGTGACTTGCCCAGGGTTACAGAGGAGCAGGGATTTAAACCCAGGTCTCCCAAATCTATAGCTGCTGCCCTAACTACTGGACCATCTTTATTCTCTCCAGGGCTAGTCCTAATATTATAATACTCTGAGTAGCTTCAAAAAGGACCATTTAAAAATGCACAAGAATATTTTCCTCTCCTCCCCCTCCCCCCAAATTTGGAGTTTCCCTCTCAAATCATACCATTCTGAGGCACTGAAAGGACAATATTCAGTCTTGAAGTAATTTTGTTCTTTTCCTCTCCCTCTAAGACCTGTTTGGTTGGACTAAGGGTACTGGAACTAAGGCTGAATTGCCTTATGCACAAAGGAATACAACAATAACTCCCTAAAAAATTGTAAAAGCTCTCTAAAATGTACTGTTTTAAAAGTTTTCCAGTGACATTTGTGGTATCAACAAAAGATGGTGATGTTTGCTAGTCCTATTTACCTTCATCTCACTGCCCCAGCAGATATCTGCTGTCAGATCGCATGCCCTGCCATGCAGCAATGGAGCGCATTTCAAAGCAGTTACCAATTGAGGGAGTGTGGGCTTGCTCCCCTATTACAGTATTCTGAAGCCAAGGGCATAAAAGCCACCTCTGAAGGTCTGCCCCTAAGGGAAATCTGCAAAGCAATCCATTCAGAGAACAAAAGGTCCTTCAGTAAATGACCTCTTTGTGTCACTAGTCTGGGAGGGCCTGCGTAGTAATGCTGGTCATCTCAGACTCATTCCAATAAAAGCTTTATTCTTCCTATACATAATGTACTGTGTGTACACAGAAGGAGGCAGCACTGTACAGTAGCACAGAATCACAGTAGAGATGGGAAAAGGCCTCACTGTTTCTCTAGATCAGTGTTTCTCAAGGATCAGTCCGTGGACCAGTGCCAGCCCCTGAGATCTCCCTGACCATTTAGGAAGGCAGCAAGCTGGTGCCTGGTATCAAAAAGGCTGAGAAACACTGTTCGAGACAATCCTCCTGCCAATGCAGGTCTGTATCTAGTCCGGTTTTAAATTACTCAGTTGATGGGGCTGCCATTATTTCTCTAGGGAGACTATTCCATGGTCTAATAGAGCTCCACTCTTAAGCTAAATATCTGGGAATGTTTCCTAAGTTTTCTTTTGATTGGTGGCATCTCATTACCCCAATCATAATAACCCTTTGGGCTGCCCTAGATAATTCCCCTCCTTTTTTTGCCTGGTATACTTTTGGAGTACACCTCTACCCCAATATAACGTGACCCGATATAACAGAAATTTGGATATAATGCGGTAAAGCAGTGCTCCGGGGCGGGGGGGAGGTCTGCGCACTCCGGCGGATCAAAGCAAGTTCGATATAATGCAGTTTCACCTATAACGCGGTAAGATTTTTTGGCTCCCAAGGACAGCGTTATATTGGGGTAGAGGTGCACTTGAATGCTCAATGATAATGTGCAGTTATCCTATCTCCCTCTTGGGTCCTAATTCTCCAGCCCTTACTCACGCTGTGTAACACTTACATGCAAGAGTAGTCCCCTTGAAGTCAATGGGATTAGTCAAGTGAAGCAGACTTATTCAGCATGAGTAAGGTTTGCAGAAATGAGCCCTTACCTGAGTGCCCATGCTAGACATGTGTAGTTTATCTTTGTCAGAAATCAGCCTGTTTATTTTCAGCAGTTCTCCAAATTCCCTCTTGTTTGTCGACATTGTCTGGTACTGAGGTGTCCAGAACTGAGCACAGTTATGTGAGTGTAGTTCCTCCAAAGCTATTTCAAAAAAGGAACGATCACCATCCACCTTGGTTAATGGCCTGATGTCTCTGCATATGCAGCCTAACTCTACATTCGCTTTTGCAGCTGCCATATTATGCTGGAAGCTCATCTATAATTTGCTGCCCGCTATCCGTCTTGATCTTTGGAGGAATTATTGCTTTTCAGATATCATCCCTCTACTGGGGATGCTGAAAACTGAATTTGTTCCGTTGTTTGGAATCACTGGAACGCCTGGCGTCCAAGCAGTGTTTGACTCCAACCCTGTTAAAAATGTTCACAGCTGCTAATTTCCCAATTCTCTCATTTCACAGTCTTTCACACATGTTTAATTCCTAAAGAGAGAGAGACAGAGACAGACAGAGAGATCTGTGTGATCATGTGCTAACAAAGGCCTGTCTTCTTTTTTTCCTAGGTATTTGGTGCTAGAACATGTGTCAGGTGGGGAGCTCTTCGACTATCTCGTAAAAAAGGGAAGATTAACGCCAAAAGAAGCCAGGAAGTTCTTCCGACAAATCATCTCTGCTTTAGACTTCTGCCATAGTCATTCAATATGGTGAGTACAGCAGGTTTATAATGGGTGGTGACTGTGGCCTGGAAACTCATAACAAAGCAGTCAGTAGGGCTGGGGCTCCTTATACTTCTGTTTGCTAGTAACTAGTTAATGTTGTAAAGCTGTTGGGGTCCAAAAGTGCTGCATAAATGCTGCTGCTGCTACTTCTTGGCTCTCTCTGTGAACACACATCGGTCACACATAGACTGTTCATGCAGATTGTCCATGATTTTCATTTGGATCTGTTTATAATATATGTAGAAAGGCTCATTTCTGGTTTCCATTGGAAAGCAAGCCTGCTGTTCCATGATGAGCATGATGGGAGGGGGCAGCTGCTGTCACGTTCATTTATAGTGAGTGCTTTAACCAAGAAAATCAGATTCCTGGGGGACCAGTGTTTCATTTCCATGAGTCTTGGGGGCACTTGCCAATAACCGAGAATAATATGTGCCTTATCAAGACTAGTCCCTGAAGAAACCTGGGACAATTATCAATACAACAAAGTCATTTTATGGCCTCCTTGGATTAGAGGGAAACCTGCTGGCAGTTGGCAGCCCTGCCTGGGCCCCTTCTGGGCATTTGAGTCACTGTTGCCTTTAATTTCCTTTCCAGTAGGGAGTAATTTTCTTTATCAGTCTGTTATTGTTACATATTAACTCAGTTGAATTATTTAACCATTGAGTGTGGTTTAACCTGTAACTTTCAGATGACATTTTAAATTGAACCAGTTTCCACTTCAGCTTTAACAAGTTCGGGTAATTTAAATTATACTGAAATTGAGTTGTTGCAGCCAATCAAATCACAGGGTTTCTGTACAGTTACTGACCTGTAAGTGCACGCTTATTTCTCAGTAATACAATTCCATGCACTCTGATTGGCTAAGGTGCTGTGATTTACATAATGACTGCACAGTCGTGTCTTAATAACTACATACAGCACGCAGATTCCTCCATTCTGATAGGCTGAGGGCCATTGTTAGACAATGAGAGCACAGCGATTTGCATAATGACTGTATAGTTATTTCTCAGTAATCGTGCAATGATTATCCATATTCCTCAGATTTGACTAACTACGGTCCTCAGAATGTCCCATGCAGGGCTGTCAAGTGATTAAAAAAATTAATTGCAATTAATTGCACTGTTAAACAATAATAGAATATCATTTATTTAAAATATTTTGGTGTGTTTTCTACATTTTCAAATATATTGATTTCAATTACAACACAGAATATAAAGTGTACAGTGCTTCCTTTATTTTTTATTACAAATATTTGCACTGTAAAAAAAAAAGAAATAATATTTTTCAATTCACCTAATACAAGTACTGTATTGCAATCTCTTTATCATGAAAGTTGAACTTACAAATGTAGAATTCTGTACAAAAAATATAACTGCATTCAAAAATAAAACAATGTAAAACTTTAGAGCCTACAAGTCCACTCAGTCCTACTTCAGCCAATCACTCAAACAAACAAGTTTGGTTACAATTTGCAGGAGATAATTCTGCCCGCTTCTTGTTTACAATGTCACCTGAACATGAGAACAGGCAGTCACATGGCACTGCTGTAGCCAGCATCGCAAGATATTTACATGCCAGATGCCCTAAATATTCATATGTCCCTTCATGCTTCAACCACCATTCCAGAGGACATGTGTCCATTCTGATGACGGGTTCTGCTTGATAACGATCCAAAGCAGAGCGGACCAGTGCATGGTCATTTTCATCATCAAATGGCACCAGCAGAAGGTTGATTTTCATTTTTGGTGGTTCGGGTTCTGTAGTTTCCACATCTGAGTGTTGCTCTTTTAAGACTTCTGAAAGCATGCTCCACACCTCGTCCCTCTCAGATTTTGGACGGCACTTCAGATTCTTAAACCTTGGGTCGAGTGCTGTAGCTATTTTTAGAAATCTCACATTGGTACCTTCTTTGCATTTGTCAAATCTGCTGTGAAAGTGTTCTTAAAATGAACATGTGCTGGGTAATCATCCAAGACTACTATAACATGAAATATATGGCAGAATGCAAGTAAAACAGAACAGAAGACATACAATTCTTCCCCAAGGAGTTCAGTCACAAATTTAATTAACACGTTGTTTTTTTAACGAGCATCATCAGGATGGAATCATGTCCTCTGGAATGGTGGCCAAAGCATGAAGGGGCATATGAATATTTAGCACGCTTGGCACATAAATACCTTGCGACTCTGGCTACAAAAGTGCCATGTGAATGCCTGTTCTCACTTTCAGGTGACATTGTAAATAAGAAGCAGGCAGCAGTATCTCTCATAAATGTAAACAAACTTGTTTGTCTTAGTGATTGGCTGAAGTAGGACTGAATGGACTTGTAGACTCTAAATTTTACATTTTTTTGTTTTTGAGTGCAGTTGTGTAACAAAAAAAATCTACATTTGTAAGTTACACTTTCACGATAAAGAGATTGCACTACAGTACTTGCATGAGGTGAACTGAAAAATACTATTTCTTTTGTTTATCATTTTTACAGTGCAAATATTTGTAATAAAAATAATAATATAAAGTGAGCACTGTACACTTTGTATTCTGTGTTGTAATAGAAATCAATACATTTGAAAATGTAGAAAAACATCCAAAAATATTTAATACATTTTAATTGGTATTCTATTGTTTAACAGTGCGATTAATTTTTTTAATTGCGATTTTTTTTTATTTAATCACATGAGTTAATTGCAATTAATCAATTGCAGGAGGAGGGATAGCTCAGTGGTTTGAGCATTGGCCTGCTAAACCTGGGTTTATGAGTTCAATCCTTGATGGGGCTATTTAGGGATCTGGGGCAAAATCAGTACTTGGTCCTGCTAGTGAAGGTAGGGGGCTGGAGTTGATGACCTTTCAGGATCCCTTCCAGTTCTATGAGATAGGTATATCTTCATATATATATATATAATACATCCATAGTGAAAATGGCTACCTAAGTGTCTGATCTGCTCCCCTTGTTGTGTAAATAACTGGAAATTTCTAAGGGAATGTATTACTTTCAGATAGAAGAGGGGATCTAAGCCTTTTTGAAGGAGCTGTAGGGCAATATTAAGAAGAATGGGGTATGGTGGGGAACAGTTCAGAGGTTGAACTGACCACATTTGTGGATTTCGAAGTTCTGAGGACAATACGCAGTCAGCACGGACGGGTTTGTGATAGTCAACAGAGCATGGGGTGAGCTGACAATGAACAATAATAACATGAGGGGCCAATCCAAAACCCATTGAAATTAATGGTGAGACACACACACCCCCCAATTGACTTCAGTGGGCTCTGGATCATCAGACCCGGGAAGTTTTCTCTGATGGCAGATAATTCTAAACAAATAATTTGTTCTGTGAATGCCACATCTTTTTCTCCTTGCAAATCACTAGTGGGAGAATCATGATTTTCTTAACATTTCTGAGAATAATTTATGATAGCTTGTTCAGGAGCAGTTTGGGTAGTGTGATCCCAGGTACGTTTGATTGGACACATAGGTTGGTTTTGTTCCTGACTAGCAGAGCATATCTCTTAGAGGCCATGATTCGGGAAAGCATTTAAGCTTGCTGCTAAGCCCCATTCCTGAATAGGGAGGCTTTCCTGCGTCTGCCTAGAATCAGATTTCAGGTGTCAATTGTCTCATTTACAAATTCAGAATTCATATTCTGCAAATATTCTCCATTATTCTCTTATAATTGACGGTCTCCACAAATATTGCTGCTGGTAAATTAATTCGCTCGAATATTCACAGGAAGCACACACAAAAAAGGTGCAAACACAACTGATGGTAATTCATTTAATAACTCAAACGCATATTAACACAGATGTTTGTGGTCTTCGGATGACTCTTGTGGGAATATATATGTATCTACTGGCAATTAGGTACTATTGTGACAAGTGTGGCGCAGGTAGATAGATGAACAAATGCCTTCTGGTGTCTGCCTTTAATAAACGGGGCTGAGGGTGGGGCTGAGGCCGTAAAAAGAGTAAGTAATTCTGGAGAATTAAGGGTCTCTAGCGAATTTTCAAAGGATGGTGAATGCCTCTTTTAAGGATCCCCAGCTACCGTCTTCAACAAATTTGGGTGTTGAGGCAATATCTTTCTTGTTAAGAAGTGAGTCTGTTTCTGTGATCTCCTCCTCAACCCCTACTCTACCACTGTCAGGGCAGAGTCAAACGACAGTGAATCAGGAGCACCCCCCTCCTCCATGAGAACCGTGTAGCTCCTGAAATGTGAGAATATGAGCAGTCACCACCAAAGGTTTTTTAAAAATCAGGTTTGTAAATATATAATAATTTAATGTACTTTCCTAAGCAACGAAGCTTGACCTTGCCCTGTCGCAGGGCAGCGAGATGATAAATCATCTCATCAGCTGGGTTATCCAGTTATGACCACACTGAATAATGAAGGCTTCTCCTTTGGCTAATGACTGGATGTGAGTGCCTCTAGCGTGCTAGCAGAATAGATTGATAGCTCTGTGCCCCCCACCCAATATCATGCCACCTCTTCTTCCACCATCCCCAGGAGGGAGCAACCAATCACAGAGAAATTCTTAAGGTTTACAGTTTCTTCAGCATCCTGGTAAGTTCTTCTTTCACTGCTTTGAATTTATTAATGGCTCAGGATTCCTGGATGAGAGACTCTGAAAGGGTTTCCCCACAGTGGCCATTGATGCGGGGGGAGCTGTGCCTTCAACCACAGACAGAAATTGCCTTTGTCTGATGAAGGGTTTTCAAGGAAACAGCCCCAGCAAGGAACAAAATGGATTTGTAATTTGCTTGTGTTTGTTTTAATTTTATTTTAAATCAGTATGAGCTTTCTGTTCCCATTTATTTTTTTTAATGGGAGTGTAGTGGGAGCTTGGAGCTTCTCCCAGTCACAGTCACTGTACAGGATTTTGCAGTAGGGTTGGCTGTGGGAGAATTCACAGTGACCCTAGTTATAGCCCCACTTAGGAGTGCAGGAAATGGCATCAGACCATTGGCATGTGGGAGCTTACTGCTAC